GCTGCCCTTCTCGTAGGGCTGTCCGACTAGCGCTGGTGACCTGAAAACATTAACAGAAATGGTGTTGACAAGAATAACGTTGATGTGACTTACGATGGTTTGTAGAGGCACGCGAACATGGTGTGCTGCTTTAAGGGATCACTCTCTTCTGTGCATATTTTCTTGGCGCACCCGAATTGATTAGTCGTCGCCCAAACTCTCTGAGGCACAGAAGAAGCACAGATTGATAAGAGTATTTTTAAGGTGTTATTATTGTTGGCATTCAAACAGACCATAAAAAAGTGAGCAAACGATTGTTGGTATCAAGTTGAACTTTCTAACCAGTAGCATTATACTAGAACACTAGACAAAACGACTTGTATGAGCGAAAGGGAAAGTCTTACCTGTTTGTACTGGTCGCAGTAGCCCCTAGAGGTGTTCTTATCAAAATCGTAGTAGACCTCGCCTACTTTGCACACTTCGACAGCAAATTGTGGTTTGTCTGCCTCTGTAGAGGATACAATGTACCAAACATCCTTGTACTGGGAATTCGTTTCAGCATCAGGAAATGCATCCGAAGAGCTGGCAAGAAATTCATCCGTTAATTTTCCATTTCGGATGAATTGCTCTAAGAAGATAGAAATTGAGGAAATAAAACGAAATACATGGCAAGTAGTTAGCAAATACTCATGCGCTAGATGATAATTAGTGGTTCTGTGTTCTCTACAAACAGTTCATGTTTCGGTGATGGCATTAAATCAGTATAAAACGAGGCGATTGCCGTCTTTGCTGTGTCTATCAATGACTGCCAGCACTGTGAAACACAAGTATTTGTAATGAAAAGGCCTTTGCAAGAACACACACGCTGCCGGTCAAAATAGGCTTTTGGCAACCGCAGTCTGTCAACAATAAACACGGTTTCGCAAAATCTGTGCAAAAACGCACCATCAACTGCTTGTTGCTTCAAGTTGGCTGAACTGTTAGAGAGCAGTAAACGTCTTGCACGTTAGTGACCAACAAACGATTTCCACTGGATCACATTAAAATGCGTGGGTGCCTTTGAAACCATAAACTTCTGATAATAGTAACCCCAAGTGTTGTGTGCTTACCGAACCTCCTTGGTGCTAGTTGTTGATTTCTCAAATGCAGTCATTATGATGGTAATTCAAACGATTTTACGATAGTCGTGCAAGTTCAGCGTGATTGCAACAGGTAATTTGAAGGAGTCATGCGGTCGTCCAAAGTTTGAAACAGTAATACTTGTTTTTGCAAATGCGTCAAGTAGCCGAGCTGTCGGAAAGATTAGCTATTCCCGTTTAATAAAATGACATCCCAAAATGATGCCTACACGTAGATGTATTCTAGTCATTCGAAGGCGTGTGTAACGTGCTTGCCCACCATTGTCTGCAACATTGTCACAGCTCAGGATATGTGTTCAATTTGTTTATATATACCTTTATTCAGGTGTTAATGAGAAATTAGTCTGTAAAACCGCTGTCCAGTTTCATTCGAAAATACAAAACCCAGTTTTTAACTGATGTTTGCATACCACAAATAATTAAACTCTTCACACACTTTCTTCCAGAAAAACCTGCATCATCTTAAAGTTTATTACAATTTTAGCTTCCTCAGGTTAACTAATTAGCAAAATCAATTTTTGAGAAACACTATCATTCATAGTGACTTGTTTCGATCATTTTAAGTCACACTGCAGCCACTCATGTGGAGCATCGGTAAATTAAACTTCTACTCAACGAAGAAAGTAGGTGTGCGCCTTCGTGTTAACCTAGTTGACACGTAAGACAGATTCTTAATATAGATGTGATGACTGTCCTAGAATGTGACTATAAATTAAGAAAAAAACGACATATGAATGAATATGACTTGAATGCTTTGGTTTGAAACCAGGCTAGTGACTCCCGGAACACCTTCGCAGAAGTCAATCTAGTGTTCTCTCAATGCTCATAATGACGGCAATTATGCAACCTCTGTTGACTAGGAAATAAATGGAACAAAGCAGTATATCTTGCGCCATTCCTTGCTTGAATCTTATGTGTTATGTAGAGCCAGAGCCTTAGTGTCACCACCGCCAATCAAGCACTGTCACTAACCCAGGTGTACTGGAAAAATTTAGAGAAACAGTTAAGCATTCACCGATTTCTCTACAGAGGTACGCCGACAGGA